TACTACGACGATGACGACTACTACTACAACGACTACTACTACTACTACTACTACTACTACTACTACTACTACTACTACTACTACTACTACTACTACTTCTACTTCTTCTACTACTACTACTACTACTACTACTACTACTACTACTACGACTGCTACTACTACTACTACTACTACTACAACTACTACTTCTACTACTACTACTACTACTATTGCTGGTATTATTACTACTATTACTACTAATACTACTACTACTACTACTACTACTACTACTACTACTACTACTACTACTACTAGTACTACTACTACTACTACTACTACGACTACGATACCGGCTACCACAACTACTACTACTTCTTCTACTACTACTACTACTACTACTACTACTGCTACTACTACAACTACGACTACTACTACTACGACTGCGACTACTAACTACTACTACTACTACTACTACTACTACTACTACTACTACTGCTATAATTTCTACAAATACGCCTACTACTACCACTACTACGACTACTACTACTACTACTACTACTACTACCACTTATGCTGCTTCTACTACTACTATAGCTTCTACTACAAGTACGCCTACTACCACCACTACGACTACGACTGCGACTACGACTACGACTACTACTACTACTACTACTACTACTACTACTACTACTACTAGTACTACTAAAACTACAACTACTACTACGACGGCGACGACGACTGCGACGACGACGACTACGACTACTTGTTCTGACACAGCTACTACGACGACGACGACTACTACTTCTACTACTACTACTCCTTCTACTACGATTACTACTACCTCTGCTACTTCTACTACGACTCCTACTACAACTCCTACTACCACTGCTGCTACTACTACTACTACTACTATTACTACTATTACTGCTATCACTACTACTACTACTACTACTACTACTACTACTACTACTACTACTACTACTACTACTACTACTACCACTACTAATGCTACTACGCCTACCACTACTACCATTACTACTACTACTACTACTACTACCACCACCACTGCTACGGCTACTACGAAAACTACTACAACTACGACTAAACCAGTACGCTTGCGATTTCAATCACCAATCCGGATGTGGGGGATCATACGAAGACGACCACTATTACTGCCACGACGAGAACTACTACTACTACTACTACTACTACTACTACTACTACTACTACTGCTACTACTGCTACTACGACGACGACTACTACTACTACTACGACTACTCCTACTACTACTACTACTACTACTACTACTACTACTTAAACGACTACTCCTACTACTACTACTAACTACTAACTACTACACTACTACTATAACTACTACTACTACACTACTACTACTACTACTAACGAACTACTAACTATGTATGGTACTACTAACTCTCCTCCTACTAAACTACTACTATTCTAACTAACTTCTACTACTACTACTACTACTACAGTACTAGTACTAGTACATACTAGTACAAGTACTACTACTACTACTTTCAATCTCACTAAACACACTACATACTAATACAACTACTACGACTACTACTAATACTACTACTACTACTACTACTTACCTACAAGAACACGACTACGACAATACTACACTACACTCTACTACTAAACTACAACTACTGCTACTAGTCCTGCCACTAACTACTACTACTACTACTCCTCCTACTAACACTACTACTACTACACTACAGCACAACTGCAAACTACTGCTTCTTCTACTACTACGGCTACTACTACTACTACTACTACTACTACTACAAACACTACTCTACGACTACTACTACTACTACTACTACTACTACTACTACTACTACTACTACTACTACTACTACTACTACTACTACTACTACTACTACGACTACTACTACTACTATTACTACTACTAATACTACTACTACTACTACTACTACTACTACTACTACTACTACTACTACTACTACTACTACTATAACTACTGGAACTACTACTACTACTACGACTACGACTACGACTACGACTACGACTACACTAACTACTACTACTACTACTACTACTACTACTACTACTACTACTACTACTACTACGACTACTATTACTACTACGACTACTACTACTACTACTACTACTACTACTACTACTACTACTACTACTACTAGTACTACTACGACTACTGCTACTACTACTATCACTATAACAACGTCTAGGCCCACGCCTACGCGTAAGCCTACATCACTACTACTACCCCGACTCATGATACGATTAGCCCTGCTAACACTACGAACAATGAGACACCATAATTGTGTTGGTGATGTTGGCACTAATCAGTTTACAACTACCGCGACTACGACTACGACAACGACCATGGCCACTACGCCGAGTACTACCACTACGCCTTCTGCAGCGATTACTAATACTACTAGTACGAAGAATCATCATGGCACTGGATGAACGAAAACGACTTCCACTAATACGCCTGCTACGACTCGTAATGATAACATTGACAGGGAGGGGAAGCAGGGAACGCTAAGGTGTTCCAGGCCCCTCCAGAGCCCAAGCTCTGGCCGAAAGCGGCGCGCTCTCCCCACCAGCCGAAAAAACGTCGCCTCTGGGGTCCCAAAGACGATACAGACTCGGGCGGACTTTCCGCCGTCGCCCATGTGAACAGTTGCAATGGCAAGAGGTGGGATAGACAGGAGACCAGGGGCGGCATACTACAAAAGACGAGGAAGCAACGACATAAACATAATCTTTCGGAGGTCCGCCCGAGCTTCCGGGGTCGGCCTTGCACCCCTCCCCCCTGGCGCGCCAAGCGCGCCAGTGGCAGCGCCGCCAGAGGGGGGCCCAGCGCCGAAACGAGAAATGCGCGCGGACCTCCGAGGGCTCATGTAAAAATACATGCGCAACGTCAGTTATGGACGATTCATCTCTTGTCGCCAGTGTTGCGAGTCATCTGGAGCCTCTGCGGCCGAGCACGGAGCAAGGAAACGACGCGAGCTCCGTGATGCCGAAGATTGTCACTACCAAGCGCAGCTCCACCGTCCCTGCTTCCCACCCTAGGACGAGAAGTGGAAGGCAAAGAGAAGGAGGGGGAGGTGGAATGTATAGCGAGGTACGCCTGGTCGCACAAGATACACGACGGCCTGTTGCCGAAGGAGGGCCATCTGGTCCTCTCGCAAGACATGGGGCTCGCCAACGAGGCTGGTGGACAATATGTTGCTTGTGCTACGACGCACTGTCCGTGCGCAGGTGCCAATGATGGTCCGATTCGGAAACTTGAACTTCCCAGTACCAGCATCAGTGAACGAGTGCGTTTCAGAATTGAACCAGGAGCACCCTGTGATGGAGTACAGGGCGGGCCCTTGACAGGTCAGGGCAGCGCGGGGCGGACAGACATCGCACTCGAGCGAGGCCGGGTAGGTGCCATAGGCTGGGCTAGTGACATGGTGGTGGTGAAGCGGGAGTCAAAATAGGACCAGGTGTGCGGGCTGAGCAGGTGTATCGCGAACGGTCGGGGTAAGCAGAGGGGAAATACGAGCGACGAACAGCAAGAGGCCCCACGCGAGGTGGCACAGCGACCCTGCGCGGTGGCCCCACGCGGGCCGCCGGCGCAGCGAAGCGAAGGCACTCACGCGCGACCTCACGCGGGCAGCTTACGCGCGCCAATGCCGCCGCGGACGACCCCGCCTCTCTGCGCCGCCCATGTGGCGCCGTCGCGCCGAGCTCCAGCAGTGCCCGGCTGCTCCCAGGTCCCAGCGCGCCTCCGCAGGCCGCCCCCGGGGCAGGCCTCGAGACGGCCTCGAAGCCCCAACTCGGGGCCGCCGGAGGCCTCCGGCAGGCCAACAAGAGGCACCAGAAGCGCCCGTCGCCGCCGTCGCCGTCGCCGCCGCCGCCGTCGCCGAACTCACCCACTCCGTCGCCAGCGGCGGCGCCTCGCAGAGAGCGGGGCGGCGGCCTGCAACGCGATGCCGTCGGCTAGGAGGGGCTACGCGGGCGGCCCTCCTCTGAGCTGCCTGGGGCGAAGGGGGGGGGGGGAAAGCAGCCCAAGGCGCGCGAAGGAGGAGGAGGAGGAGGAGGAGGAGGAGGAGGTGGAGGAGGAGGAGGAGGAGGAGGATGAGGAGGAGGAGGAGGGAGAGGAGGAGGACTTTGAGGTGTACGCTTCTGGCGACTTGACCCCGAGCGGGAGGAGACGAAAGTCGGAGGAGAGAGAAGCACGGGCGGGCGGAGGAGGAGGAGGAGGAGGAGAGTGATGAGGGAGGGAAAGGCACAAAAAGGGGGGAGGGAGGAGGAGGAGGAGGAGGGAGGAGGAGGAAGAGGAGGAGCAGGAGCGGGAGGAGGAAAGAGGGATGACGGCGGAATGAGGAAGGAAAGAAGGAAGGAAGGAAGGAAGGAAGGAAGGAAGGAAGGAAGGAAGGAAGGAAGGAAGAAAGAACGGACGGTGCGGCGGAGGAGGAGGAGGAGGAGTAGAGGAAGGAAGAAGAGGAGGAGGAGGAAGAGGAGGAGGAGGAAGAGGCGTGAGAGGAGTGCGAGTAGGAAGAGGAGTGGGAGAAGAGAGGAGAGGAAGGGATGGGGGAGGGATGAGGGAGGGATGAGGGAGGGATGAGGGAGGGATGAGGGAGGGATCAGGGAGGGATCAGGGATGGAAGAGGCACGGGTGAGGGAGGGAGGGATAAGGGAGGGAGGGAGGAGGGAGGGAGGGAGGGAGGAAGGAGTGATGAGGGGGAGGGGGGAGGAGTTGAAGAAGGAAGAAGGGGAGGAGGAGCAGCAGGGCGGAAGGGGGCCGAGCCTCTATCAGGATGCGAGTGCTTCGAGGGGTGGTGATGACTAGCCTGACGCATAGAGCAGAGGCCTCCACGAGTCTCGGCCTGTCAACGGTTCTCACAGTCAGGAGTCTAAGTCGATGCGTTTGGGGGGTTGACAAGGCGGCCGTATCAAACCACCCCCCGGCCCTCGTTGTGTCCCCCTCCCCCTCTTCCCCCTCCGCCGTTCCCCTTCCTCCTCTCTCCCCTCCTCCCCCTCCTTCTCCTGGAGGGGCGCGGGGGCCAGGGGTTCGGTTTGGCGGCCGCACTGTTGATCCCCCGGTGGCTGAGCGGCCGCGTCAGGGGCAACGTATCCCCCAAGGGGTACGGCTAACCCACGCCCTCCCCAGGAGGGCGCCCCCTAACGGGTAATGCTCGGGGAGGGGACTTGTGCTGTATGTTCGGGTGCTAGCGGATAGTGCCACATTGTGATCGTCCCTTCTCCTGGTCTTATTGTGAGTGCGGGGGCGGGACTGCTCAAACCTCCCCGGATTCCATGCCAAAGAGGGCGGTTGGGGCTACGGCTCTTTCCCTCTCGGCCCCATCCGGGGGGCAGGCCGGGGGTGCCCATGGTCCAGGCGACCCGGCTTATTCTGTCTAAGTGTTCGTGTGCTTCTGATGTGGTGCCCGTAGTGGACCCAAAGTAGCCGGTTGAGGCACTTCGGTGAATCCGGTGCGATCTTCGACGTGCGCACTGGAAACCCGACAACGAAGCACCGAAAATATGATTTTGCGAGTTAATGTGTGGTTGCGTGTCTCAATAGATTAGTCTGGCCCCTGCGCATCGACGACACGCAAAGAAGAGAGTTGGGGCACAACGGTGTCGCGGCCTGCGCTAGTCCCGCGTCCACCCTCCTTGGTTCCAGGGTTACGGACAGCCCAGCTTGGGCGTTCGTTTTGCCGCGCTTCCGGGCCGATGGCCCCAGCGCCGGCCGATGGCCTTCTCTAAGGACCATCTGGGGGGAGCAAACTCACTGCGCCCGGCGCCGGATTCCTCTGGTCGCCTGCTCCCCCCAAACCCCTTCGCGGCGGGGGTTGTTGCTGGAACGCAGAGGGGGGTGGGGCAGCGGGCTGGCCTGGTCGCGGGGGGGGGGGGCGGAAGTGGAGTAGCATATACCCTAAAAAAAGGATGTTTGGTTGTCTTTCTGGGGTGGGTTTCAGTGTTTTTGTCGTTGTTTGGGGTATCGGTCGGGTTTGTGACTCCGCTTCTTCCACTCCCACCGGGGGCCATCATTCTCTGTTTTTCGTGTGGGGTCCAATGCGCCGTCTCGGGAGGTTTTTCCCTGCCGGCCGGGGGGCCGTTCGCGGCCCCGGAGGACGAGGACGAGGACGAGGTGATGACTAGCGGTCGCAAGCACTGTGCTCACAACAAGTGAAACATGTACGACTTCGACCGCTTCGGGAAGCAATGGCAAAGAGTCGACGAGGAGGCCGATCATGAAGCTACACGGACATTTCCCACGACCTACCAATATCCCGTCCCACTCGTTCGGACTTGTCGTGCGAGTCTCCCGCTCAGCACGTGCAAGATGCTACGAATGTGATGGGCGCTTGCGCGGAGAGTGGATGCCAGCATCTGCAAGGGGAAGGGGATAATGAGAAGGTGGATGGCCCCCAGATCTGGGCGTCGCGAATGAAAACGCGACGGGTTTGTTTGCCCCGTTGGGGGCCACGGGCCCCTCACTGAGCATCTCGTTGAACCGATCCCTTTACCCACTGGCGTGACCTTGGCCCGCTGGCCGACTTACCCACCTAGGTGGGGATGCGGGATGCATGCCTGCTCCTTCGGGTTTCGCGGCTGGTGGGGCTGGGATGAGGATCGGCTCGACGCTGCTGACCCACGGATCGACACACTCGGGAAACAACGAAACCACGCGCGACGACGGGACGAAAACTCCGTCCGTGACTTTTCACCGTCCTGGGCAGCCTCAGCACCCGACCTTGGGGCGCGGAGAGCCCCCCGGGAGCGCCGATGGAGGCGGCACGCCAACACAGTGAGGCCGCCCTGGGCCTCCTCTGGGGGCATGCTGAGGCCAGGCGACAACGAGGCCGACGAGGACGAGGGCGAGGGCGAGGACGAGGACGACGACGCCGGCGACGGCGATGGCGGCGACGACGACCAGGGAGGCGCGCGAGGCCCGGCGGCGGTTGGAACGAGTGGAAGGTCATTGCGCCGGCCTTGCAGGCGTGCTGCAGCGGATGTCTGCGTGGATTTCTCTCAGCGCAGCACGTCGAATAGCGAGCGAAAAAAGATGTGAATCTCACGTGGATTTGTTGTAGTCTTCATTCCTGGCCAAAAGCGGCACGGAGGCCCTAAGCACCAGCGCTGCGTGAGAAGACACACGGCACGGCACGGCGGGACAACTTTCCGTAGCGGTCTGAAAACCAAGCACGGCACGGCACGGCAGCTTTTCCGCATGCTGAAAACCAAGCACGGCACGGCGCGGCATCTTTTCCGCATTCTGAAGGCCAGGCACGCCACGGCACGGCACGGCGACCCGTTCGCATTCTGATAACCAGGCACGGCGCGGCACGGCATGTTTCTCTCGCGTTCTGGTGGCCAAGCACGGCGCGGCACGGCAACGCTTTCGCCTTCTGAAAAGCAGGTACGACACGGCAATTGTTCCGCACTCTGAAACCAAGCACGGCAAGGCACGGCAACTGACCAGCAGTCCAAACCCCAGGCACATCACGGCTTGGCACGGAGCCTGCTTCGCACTCTGCAGAAACCCCGCACGGCACGGCACGGCAATTATTTGTTCCCCCATTCCGAAGCCCAGGCACGCCACGCCAGTACACGGCAACTTCTTCGCATCCTGAAATCCAGGCACGTCACGACAAGGCACGCGGGGGGGGCTCCTTCCAGAAACTGGGTTTAGGTCGGGCATGTCCCCCACGGGCGGATCTTGGACGAAAATTCAGAAATACCCCCCCCAAAAAAAATGTAGCCAACTAAAAACTCAAAAATCGTCCCCAGACTGTTTTGTTCCTTCATTTTTGAATACCCCTCCTGTAGAGGGACGTGCCCGATTTAACACGAAAGGCAGAGCACGGCACGCGGGCACGCCACCGCACGCCAACGCCGCGGCACGCCACGGCACGCGGGCGTCTCAAAGCCTCTCCGCTCTCCGCACGCCACTGGGCACGCCGCGGCACGGCACGCGAGCACGGCACGGCACGGCACGCCAGCGGCCACTTTTGGGCATCTCGGCGGTGGACAAACCTCCCTTTAGCATTACAGGGCAGGTTTTAGTACATTGGTTTTAAAAAATAGTTTAGAAAATACAAGAATTTTAATACATGACTAGTTGATGAATAAATTTCTGCATGAGCTCATCGTTGTTTTGAATACTAAACCCTGATTTGTTTATACATGATCCGCACGCGGCGCATGTATCAAAAACGGCACTGTATGTTGCTCCCATCGTACTTCAGGACCACATCCTAGAAATGATTCCGAGCACCCAAAAAAAGTCGCAAAAGAGTGTCGGACGAGTGTCTCCCAGGGCCCGACGCGCGAAATCCCTCGAGTTTCGACACTTTTTTGGTGCTCGAAATTCTTTTCTGGTGATCAAGGCTAAGGTAGGTTGAAACATCATAACTTTAGCATGCCACCCTTTAGTGAAAACGACCTGGGACCGAAACCGACGGACCTGGACCCGCAAACATGACGGCCGCGACGCCCTCTCGCGCACCCGAAGACGGCCAATTCGCTGATCGACGTGTCAGGGCAGGAGGTCTGTCTACAGGGCAGTGTTTAACACATGGGATCTTTAAGAATATAGGATGTTTAGTACATGACTAATTTATGAATAAATTTACGCATGAACTCATCGTTGTTTTAATGCTAAATCCCTGCATGTTTAATACATGATCCGCACGCGGAGCATGTATTAAAAACGGCACTGTACCCCCGGGCATTCCAAAAACTAAGCTCGGCATGGCACTGCATGCGGGTACGGCGCGACATGGCACGGCACGTGGACACGGCACCGCACGGCACGGCACCTGTTCTCACACCCCGGAGACCAGGCCCGTCATGGCATGGCACGGCAGCCGGCACAGCACAGCACGCCACGCCGCGCGTGCACCGCACGGCACGGCATGCAGCGGCAACTTCTCCGCACTCTGGGGACTAGAACAACCTTTCCAAAATCACTGCATCCCACTACAGCATTCGCTGTTGAGGGGGAAGCATCGAAAACCTCAGGCCC